AAAAATAAAATGCTGACTATACTGTTCACTAGAACAGAGATGAACTATTTCAGAAAAGCAGCTTTACATCTCTGATTGCCCAGTCCCCAATCTGCTTCTCAGCACCGTTATGTAGTCCTGGAAGCCACCTCAAGCCAACAGCAAGGTAACCTCACAGGGCCCGTCTGGGCACAGCCCAACCAAGCTCATCCCCGTGCAAGTGCACGAGCTAGTGCAGGCAGATGCACGAGGATTTACAGCCACTGAACTGGCTCGTCGTTTGGATCCCAACCTTAACAATCACTACGATGAGGGCAACTCACGATTAATTCTTATTTTTTCTATGCCAATTCACTAAGTCCATTCCTGCACAGGTAAGGCCTACAGTGCTTACTCACCCATATTTCAACACTCCGGTTTTGCTTCAACAAAAATTATAAGGCACTAAAACAATCCCGATATATGAAATTGCAAAAAATTACTATTACTCTTAACTCTAAGTCTTGCAAGAAAGACTACAGCTCCTCCCCCAACTTTTAACAGCAGTCTCCTTGCTCAAAAAGCGATTTCAGAAACCTGCTAACTATTTTCTTGTCTAACATACTGAGTCATATGGCAAATATATGGTCCTTACTTGATATGAACTCTCTATATACACCATTCTATATCAATGCCATATGTAACACTGCAACAATATTCTAATGCACTACTGATGCATTTAATGTATGTCATGTTGTTGTTATTATTCTGATACCTCTATATGGCAACTCAACTTGAAATAAAGGTGCGGAAATCCTACGCATCCCTTCAATGATTCTGGTATCATTTTGCAGGAGGCTTCCTCACCCTTCAGCTAAATCTTAAGGCAGCAAGTATGAAACACTGTCAGGAAAAGGAGCTTCTGAGAACTTCTTTCCACTGCAAGTTCCTACTTGCAGTCTGAAAGACATTTCTAGCTACATGTTTAAAGAGCTACATTTTGAGAGAGATGATGAAAAAAAAAAAAACAGTTGCAAAACAAGTGGCACCGACCAAGGCAGGCTGAACTTGATTTTGCAAAGCCTCTGAGGTTGGGTCTTGGTTTTGCAAGGCCTAGCCAAAAACCACCATGGTTTTCACTTCGGATTGACAGCCTGTGGCAAACAGCTAATGCTCTCAGAACTTCCCCAACAGATACCACGGCATAGGTGGGAAACARCACACAGGTTGAGCTGTGGAAATGAATGCAGCAAGGCTGTGAGCTCACTGGAGGTCAAAATGAACAGCTAGAGACAGAAAATCAACAATCAGCTTTCAAAATGTTGGTAGGTCCGACCTAGCTGAGGCAACACCAGCCTGAAAACATGCACAGAGGGAGGCTGATGGCTTGAAGGGCCAAAGAGGTCTTCACACATGTTTAGTCTGTAGCTTGTGCTGTATTTGTAGCTGTCAATCCTTCTCTAAAGACATGTACAAAACCTTCTTGAGCGGTTGGGATGGGCCCGCTTGGAGTAGACGCTCCGGTTTTCCCTGTAGGACTGGCGTGGGCGGACGCAGGAATGGGCTGGTTCCCCTCAGGCTCTGTGTCCAGCTGCACACGGGGGCTGCTGCCTGGGGGCTGCTGTCCCTGCCCTCCCGCTCCTCCCTGCCGCACGGCACGAAGGCGGCATCGGCACCGCGCTGCGGGAGAACAGGAGGCGGCCGGTGGAACACGGCGACCAAGTCACGGCACTTTGAGCTTACTTGCCAAGGAACAACCAAAATCCCATCTTCTTCCTTATTACTTGCTCATAGCTGAGTGTTTCGGGGCTTGGTGGCCACGCTGCCGTAGCAAGCCCTCCTGAATTTTTCATCAGCAGCGGGCCACAAAACGTGCAGTCAGGGCACTCAGTTTGGAAACAGAGCAGCAAAGGTGAAATAAAAGATTGAGCTCCACGCCTGCTCATTTGACTGCTACGCACAGCCCCGATGTAGCTTCTAGCTCGGAAGCCGTGTTGCTCTCCGCAGTAAATTACCTTTTGCATACATGGATAAGCAGTCTAATCAAACAAGGATTTAAAGCAGGATGTGCTAAAAGGAACTGCTGATTCCCCTTAAAGTCTGCCACTGCTCCTTCTGCCGGCTCGTACATATTGAACAGCATATGGGATTTATCAGAGAGAAAAGGTGAGGAGAAGGTAAAAACCCCTSTCGCCASGTTTTTGCAGCCCTCCTCAGACTCRGGGCAGGGGCCCCTGTGCCCGGACGCGCTGCCCGGCTCCCCGGAGCACTGCGTTTCCCCCGCGCTCCCACGGAGCCTCCGGCTGGGCCCTCCCTGCCCCGGCCTTGCGGCTGCTCCGAGCGCGCAGCGGCGCCCGGGGGCCGTCCCTACCTCGCCCCACAGGGGAGGGCAGCACCTGCACTTTGTGGCTCCCACACAGGCTCGGCACCCTCRGAGCACAAGGCATGAGGCGCCCGCCTCACCTAAGCGCTGCTCCCTACTCGTCCTCAGGGCACACTGGGTCTTCCAACGTATCCACTTGCCCAAATGGGGAGAAATAGCTGCAGACAAGGACGACGACTGCTCTAAATCTTGCCCTCTATTTCCACCATCATCTAGAACCACGAAAATAAACCAACTTTTGAGAGGCTGCTTTGGCTTAGAGGCTAGATTTGCTATTTTGGATTCAGCACCTTAAAACCATAGTGGGGATCTGCTTTCTGAGGTCATCATCTTCAGAAGTATCCTGTATTTGAAATGTCAACAGGCGAATTGCTAGATTGCAACTCATCAACAACAATAAAAGATATCTTCAGACTGATASAAAAATGCTCTGTATATAGTTGCTGTGTCTCAGCAACAACTTTCTTTTCTAGCTGATATTATTCAAATTCATTGCTCAGTATGAAGTTCTCAACAGGTAACAGGGAGATCACAAGCGTGCCCCTGGTTCTCAGGCGTTTCCTATAACAGATGGATGCCTGTCTCTCAGGAACGGACCTTTGGCAGTGCACTGCTGGGAGGACAGGAGGAACGTTTTAGTTTATTTTCAGTCTAGTATCAGGGGGAAAAAAATAACAGYCCCTAACAGAGAAAGTGCAAAATCAAGAGGCAGAGTATTCCTAGCAATCRAAAATGTAGTCTGAACCGGCACCTTATTACACATCCCAGGAACCCACCACAAGGCAGGAATTCACAGGAAAGCCGATCTCATTCGTTCTGCTGCTCATGAAACTACTTATGCAATTTACTGCTCGCTTACTCAGTTTGGAAGAAAACCCCCTTTGCTTTGGCCGTGTCTTCTAAAGCAATGGTTACTCATTCCTCAAGGTGAAAACTGCTGGGGGAGAAACTAGAAACTTTACATATAATAGACAGGAAACTAAACGAGAAGACTGGCCAATTGCTAGGAGAGCAATTTTTTTTTTTTCAAATATGCTTCCTTACCTACAATTTATTATTCAGAAACAAAGTGTGCGCAAAAGAGGTAACTTATCTTCATATTTTTCRAATTTCCACTGACTCAGACTTTTTAAGTCAATGGTTCTTATAAAAGGTACTTAATGAAACATTTGTCTTTTTAATGAGAGTTGAGCTATTCCTAGGAAATGCTACAAAATGCAATTTTATTGGTATTTTACTTCTCCACAGATTCTACACCTACACTAGATTTCCTTTTTTTTTTCCCCCCCCCCCCATGGATTTAGGAGGAGTAGATTCAGAATAGATTTTAACCAGACAGATCCCCGAGTTAGGAAGATGCTGTCTCTCTTAACAGCAAGGAATGATCTCGGGGCACTTCCATTAAAACCAGTACATAAAAGCAAACAGGGTCAGTGCTAGCAATAAGGAGAATGCTGGTATCAAAAGAGAAAAGGCTTTCTTTTCAGAACCAAAAACTATTGCATCCAGTACAGTCTAGAGCCAACAGGGCCTTCCTCAATAAAAGAACATATATTTGGCTGCTTTTAACTCTGCAACGCTGCGAAGAATTTTTGGCAAACCCAAAATTACCAAAAATCAAAATAGAGGAAAAGTACTTCAGAGGCTGTGACAAATTTTTCCTTTGAGATATCTTAGCTACTCTCATCTTTTGGGAAATAAAATTCTACTTATTTCAGTCTCTTTTCTGCACTAAAAGCAGGCATTAAATTTGAGATTAAGATTTCTATAGATCACTAAGTAGTTAATAGATTTTTGCTTTCATGTCGCTTCAAGACCCTTGAAATTTCCATTCCATTTCAGTATTTAGGTTAAGAACAAACAAACAAACAAGGCACATCTCCACCAACAAACATTAACACTGCCAACAATAGGGGAAACTGAAACTTCCAGCAAAAAAACCCTGACACAGTAATGGTGTTGGGGAAATAATGCGAACAGAGCATCTCTGAGATTTAACAAGAGCGGGGCATCTTCTCTGCTACAGGAATGAGACAGTTTCAAACCAGCTTCGTTTTTAAAAAAACCCAACCTACTCTACAACTCCAGACCACTGACTGTGGCTTCTAACTGCGAGGAGCCCAAGCACAGGGTGCAGGCTGGTTACTGACTGCGCTGTCCCTCTCCCTGCCGCCCCCTTCCCCAGCTCACAGCAGTGCCYCTCTCCTCCAGCTCTTCAGCAGTCTGGACAAGTGGGCCCACAAGGGCCCTCCTCGGGCCCTAACCACATCCCTGCCCTTAACCAAATGTCCCCTCCCTTGCTCTGCAAACAAATTGTAACAGATTTGGTCGACTGAAGCTGCTTATTTGCGGAACTAATCCAGGAGCTGCCCTTTCACAGAGAATGCTTCTTGGCAACAAAGTCCTTCCAGAGACAAAGCCCATCCCATCGCTGGCCTTTCCTTTCAGCAAGGTACTGCTTTTCTTACACGTGCACAGCAGAAACCCGATTATAATTTAACAACCCTCACTGTAATTAAATTCATAATTTAAGAACATTGGCAGGTTTGGTCTCCCATTTGTCMGCTACAACAGTGTACACCAAGAGGATCTACTTCAGCTTTTGGTGGTGGCTTTTCACATAGACCCATTTCTTTCCCGGCATTAATCGTTTGCATACCAACTTCATCCTGGATCTCCTCCRCCACTGCAGGCACGTTATAGAGGAAGGACAGGGACTGGTTCATGCGTTCATATATCACACGTAGATGTGTCATAACCTATGGAAAAAACAAAAGTTATAAGGAGGRGGATACTGTTGTTACTCAGCATTACTGAGAATTTTATGCACTATACAAAACAAAGCTGTTTCCATTTGTGCTAGGGATAACGTCTGGGTAGGTTCTCCGTACTGAAACTGTGAAATCCATCACAAAACACAGCTCTCCCCTGGCTGCCACACTGCGTCCYGGGCCACAGATGCTCCTCCACGGGAACAGCCTCAGCTTGCATGGGAACGATGAAATGATTCCATGCAGGGGACTCAAATTTGCTGTGAATAAGTGAGAGCCTGAACGCGGGCAGCTCTCGTGGCAGAGCTCCACAGCCCCCTACCCCTCAGTAGCAGCACCTTTGCCCACACCCTTAGGCTTCTGCATTGTACCTGAACCCAGGCACGTCTAATGATTGCTGGGTTTTCTCTTCTCTTTCGTGCTGCAGGGCAGGCAGGACCAGCTGCTCTCTGCAGGCAGCTCCAGTTCTCCAGCTGAAAGCTGCATCCCCAGGTGTGTGGCTGTGCCGTGCGGGCTGCGACTGCAGCGCTGCTGCTGCAGCCGGCGGGACGCTCGCTCCCGAGGGGACCCCCAGGAAGCACTGCCCTCCCTTGGGAAGCAAAGGGGGGACAGCTTGGATGGCCTGTGCTGAGTGGGCAGCGAGGCCCATGCAGGAATGGGGCTTGCAAACAGGCAGCTCACTGAAGGGCTGATGTGGTCTCTTCAAACCGAAATAGGGTACTTAGGCCTYCGACTAAAATATTTTGTTTGCTATTTTCCACTGAAACCAAAATTCCCCAAATCTTATATCTACCAATCCTTTGGACAACTAAGAAAAGATATTACAGAAATATTCCTTCCTTAGCTCTCGCTATGTTCTTACTACAATATTACCATCATACAACAAATAGGGTCCTATAAAGGCAGACTTTATTTCTTGCATCTAAAAATCCGATTCCAATTTCCCTTTATATGTGCTGCCAATATACTTGCAGTTTGCAAATTTTCAGGTTTTATTTATTTATTTATAATAATCCAATGTTTTAGGAACTAAATAGCTTTACTGGATGCAAAAGGACATGCCTGAATGTTTGTGACACGCAAAAGCTGCCTAAGATTAATGCAGAAGACATTCAGAACTGCTCATTTTGAGCTGAAGCAATTTTATGATAGCACAATCTCAATGTACAAGTCTCGCTGGAAGAGATGCTTGAGAAGTCAAATACACAAATTGTGCCACTTATGGAGATACATGGTTTTGATTTGTCTTTTGGTGATGCCARTCAGTTCAAAAACTGTCTGGAACAGAGCTCCCAGTTGCATCCTGCAGAGGGAACAGCAGCAGATTCTGCACCTTACAGCAAACATTTTAGCAGCTCACCCAATTTAACTGCCTTTTTTTTTTCTTTTCTTCCTTCCTCACTCTCCACATTTTATGATGGAAAACACAAGAACTGTACCAAAACACACACGTTAAGATCTGCAGTAATATTCTGCAGCTAAAATCACTCCGTTTTTAAAACACATTAAGCTCTAGTGCTTGGTAGGAAGCACACTTACAGATACTACATTGCCTCTGTACAAACACAGAAATGTTAGACTYGGTCAGTCAGATGTCCACACCACTCCTGGTTCCGCCACTTCAGCAGAGGGAAGCAACATGGTGCACAGGAACTGCATCTATCAAAGATGCTCTCTCYGAAGTACCATTTACCAAAGCAGCAATAGAGAGTCTGGGCATTCCAGCTCTAGAGAGCACCTCAGGGAGCGACTACAACCGACTCACCACCTGGATAAACAGCTCTTCTCTAAAGATCCATCAGCACGTGCTCTATTTCTACACCTCTTTGCTTCAATCTGCTGCTGGAAGCAGATTATTTCTCATTGCATGTAAAAGTGTTCAGGGAAGGGTCAATTTTTGCCCCTTTTTATTTTTTTCTACACATCAGTTGTCAGTGACGCAATGGCTACGAGCAAACACGATGCCGTTCGGCCCAGGAGGGGGCTACCTGAGATCGGATCTGGGCAGCTTTCTTGGGGTCCACCATGCGGACGTGCTCAAAGTGTTTCAGCGTGTGCTGCCTGTCCTTCTGCTCGGCACGCACGTACTTCTTCAGCATGTTGAACACGTGACGAGGCTATGGAGAAGAAACAGGAAAAAGAAATCAGTTCAGCTTAGAGCAACACAGGTTTTATGCTTCCTCACACCAGAGGTGTCTYCCAAAACAAGAGCAGAACCTGGAGCAGGGATCTTCCAAAGGCAGGCCTGACTCCTCTGAGAAACACTCCATGACTCAGCCCCTTCAGCAGGGACAACCAGGTTAACACAGGAAAGCCTTCAAATACCTGCTCCGACCAGCAGGGAAGTTTGGTCGTTGCTTTTCCTTCTCTATCYGCTGTGATGTCAGCCCAACGTGGCAGGAATTGCTGCCTTATACGCTAATGCCTCTCCCACCCTTCCTCTGGATGACGTTTCTGCTCTCCCCACCAAATCACTTCACCACTTCACAAACCAGTGCACAGAAGCCCACCTGAAAGCACTTTGCTATCCCAGCCAATGACCAGTCAAGAGACTTGACTGTAGAAATTAAAAAAAAAAAAAAAAAAAAAATCAAGACTATTCTTTCCTGCTGCATCTTCACAGAGAAATGAGAAGGGAACAGACAGACAGCAGCTGAGGTGAGGTGTGGAAGGCAAACATCTGGAATATACAACTGAGTAAAAAACTGTAAGAGAAAGAAAAAAGGGACTACTTGGTTCTTCTGGCTGTTAAATTTTTAAGAACTGTATCCTGTGTTTATATGGCAAGTAACCTTAGTTACTAAAAAACACAAATAAATGCCTTAATAAAAGCTAGTGTGTGTGCTGATAAAGTAAGAAAGCAACTACTTTATGTAAAAATACTCTTGATTATGAATATGGAAGGAACAGAAGAAAGTCTGTAGCTGAAGGGAACATGAAAAAATAGCTGCAGTCTGATGGTACCTGGGAGCAGCAAGCACACACTTACACTAAGAAGCCCAAGAAGAAATGTTTATTTTACACTCTCTTTTTTTATACTCTGCACAATGACACAGCGCCAAACCAGAGAAGTTCTCCTGTACTCATGCAAGACATTCAGTTTTAACTCAGTGTTTATGACTATTCTGGGAAAAAAAAAGTTGAAGACAAAACCTGGGTTCTGCTGTTTCCACTCCTACCTGCTGCTACTGAATGGTGAGAAAGATGCCCTTGACAGGGGGTGGGAGAAACAAAACAGTGACAATGGCCCTGAGGACTGGTGGTGATGGAGAGGAGCGGATGGGTGCGTGACAAAGGAAGGGCAAGAGGCTCAACACACAGCACCCTGCAGAAGAAAGAACTGCTGGAGAAGCTGAAGCTTTAAGAAGACTTAAGAGTTACAGAGAAATACAGAGTCCAAACTAATCTAACATTTACACAAGAGATGAATACTAAGCTGCAGAGCTCCAAGATTTAAGGATCTCTTCAGCTTCAGCTAGTCAACAGATTTAAAAATGCCCGAAGAAAGTAAAACAAAGGTTATTTGAAGAAGATCTGTAGGACTGAAATAAAGAAATGTGAAGCCATTTCCTGACAAAGGATTACATTTAGTGACTCCATGACTTAAATTCATTTACATGAAGAAAAACAAAGCCTAAAACCAAGTGCCTCGGGATGAAGTTGCAGCAACTGGACAAATATTGGAAAGCAGGTAGCTTTTGTAACATGGCAGTAATGACAAAAACTGAAAAGCCAACTGTGAAGCATTGAAGGGACCAAGGCTGCAAGACCAGGCCTACAACACACACAGAAATGCAGACTATGTTGCTTCCTCTGTGAAGCTTCATTTTTCTTTGCCTCGAGAAATATCTGGACAACAGGTTAGGGCAGAGAGAAAAGCATTTTCTTGAGGAATCTCCATTTTCATGCCACATCTAATGCAAGAAGGGCACGTTTTTCATTCCAGCCCGTTTACGTCCATCGCAACAGGCCAGTGGAACATTTACATTAAGAGCTGCGAGCAGAYGTTGCTGGGATAGCAACCCTGAAGGCGCCCGTCCAAGGCTGCCGAGCAGCAGCACCGGGCGAGCCAGCAGCCCGCTCGCAGCGCGTCTTCTGACGCTCGGCCAAGTCTCCAGCTCTCATGAGCAAGAAGAAATGGCTATGGCGGGCTCGAGCCTACCTGGCCACGAGGGCTTCCTGCCATGGTGGTTGGAAAGCAAAGTGAAAGAGGACGGTGCAGAAAGAGCAGTAGATATAAGGCGCTTTCTTATAGGGGCAATGACCTTGTTTCTTCCTGAGCAGAGAAGCACATGAGCATCTCCCTGTATGYGGGTATCCCAGGCTAGCAGGGCCTCAGGAAGCCCTGGGCCACCCCACAGATGTGCAGGCCCCAGCAGCAGGCGCTGTGGGCGGCGGGAGCTGCTCAGGCCCACAGAGGCACCATGGAGAGCAGCAGTCTCAGGAGCAGCAGCTGCATGGGGGCTGCCCAGCGGCGTAAGGGCGATCGGGCCTCCCTGAAGTGGGAGCTGACACAGATCTGCCATCCTACGGTATGTTCTCCCTGCCAAATATCCCCATTTCCCGGCCTTTAGCAAACATGCCCTGCCTCATCCCTTAACGGTTTACAGTGGGGCATTTCCATGCCAATTCAAAACTACCCCTGCCCTCCCCATACAGCAGGATGCCTTGAACCTGCAACACAAACTAAACTGGCTCTGCTCTCCTGGTCTTGAGTAACCACTGAGAGCCACAGACACACGGGATCAGGTCAGATCTCCCACCCGCTGCTGACTTGAAATGTTTCGGCCTCCGTTTCAGAACCTTTGCTGCTGCCTAAATGGCCGGGGCTGCTGCTGGGCTGGGACAGCTCTGCCAGCTTCACGCGGCAAGCGGTGCCTGGGACCGTAACTGAGGCCCAAGTCTGATAGCTGAAGGCAGCTTCAACAGGGAAGGGGAAAAAAAAATGGTGCTTTCTCTTCAGTGTCTAGAGTTCTGGGCCCACTGCAGGCACTTTTAGCAAACCTTGCAGCGCTGACTTTACTCCTGGCTACCTTTTTGAGCAACCCCGCTGGGAGCAGCCTCCCATCCAGTGCAACAGGCAGCGCCAGGGACTGCTGCGACGGTGCCGCAGAGGSGCCACGAGGCAGCGCGCGGGCGGGCGCCGCGACGGGGAGGGCTCCGAAGGAAACTCCGTCAGACCTTCCTCCTGGGGGCTCTCACTCCAGCCTTAAGAAGGATGGAAGGGATCTTCCCACTAAATTATACCTGAAAACGCTGCTAGGACAAGCTCATTTAAGTCCTCAAAGCCTCAACTCTGACCCTGCTTAGGGCAGAAGAAGAAACTGAAGACTAGCCCAGGGTCAGCTTTGCACCTCTCACACGTGATAAAATATTTTACAAATACTGAAGTTTATTAAAACATTTTTTGTTTCTATTTTTGAAATTCTCTTCCACATTTTTTCCCCCCAAAGAAATCTCAGCGCATTCACATCTGTAGCTACCTAATAAAAGCCATCTGGGAAATGACTCACAAAATAACTAACCTGTATCAGCCACCAGGGGCTACCTAATCCTCACGAAATAATTCTGTTATTTTCAGTTCTCTGTGCTTGTTTTGCTGGTTTGTTTCTATTGGTCTCCCGAGAAAGGTGACAAAGACACTTCAAAACCATGACTTCCACATAATTTCAGTTATTCCTGCCAAAGCTGCTGGCAACTAATTTATCCAGTAACAGGAATGACAAATAACTTCCTAACCCATAGGATCCAACAACAAACTCTGAATACATATTATTTCACAAGGAATACTGTTTAGTTAGGAATAATTGATTCCTGGGCACTAGAAGAGCCTGTTAATTTAAAACTCTGTTTATTCTGAAGGATGTTGCCAGAAAATTATTTTACACAGAGTTCTGCTAAATGTGTTGCGACTTGCACATGTTCAATTAATTCTGTACACAGGAGACAGACTCACAGGCTTCCTATCACCAGGAAAAACCTGTCCTTCTGCCTAGCACAGTTGGGAACATGCCTCTGCTCTTACTTGGAAGCCGATTCTTTTGGGGAAAATACAAATGCACCGGAGCGGAGTTAAGGCTATGGAAACGTCCTGCTCCGTCCTGGCTTCACCAGGCAACGCTGACCGTTTTCTTCCAGCTTTGTGGCGGAGCAAGACAAGGCCAAACAAGCAGAAACTGCTGATGAAACTGGGGGAGCTGGTGCTGCCCGGTCACTGAGCACCTCTGCGGGCCCCACGGTGACTGCGTTGGAGGWGCTGGCGTCCTGCAAGGCCGAAGCAGCTACCGACGCTGCAGCTCACGGCCAAGCTCAGCTCAGCACAGCTGGGCTCAAACGCTCCACAGGTGCTGGACGTAACCACCGCGAGGACACGGGCTCCGTCTCCACTCCCGCTTTCAGAAGGCAAGGATTCCATTAAAATTGATCAAAGGCTTTGGAATTCTTCTGGAGGAAAGAACTTCCTTCATGCAAGGCAGCTGGAGGCAACGCTCATCACTGTGGCAGCAGTGCCACCTTAGGAAATACTGTAAGAAAGACGCTTTGCACACTGCTGCCTGGCAGAAGTGAGCTACATAATATYCTACACGGAGAATATTCAGGGATTCCATTTTCTACTGATATATGTCATTTTAGTGAGGATTTAGCTTGATTTTGTTATAGCTAATGGAGAATATTTCTTGCCATTTTTTCATAAAACAGCTCCGATAATTTACTGCCATTACTGCTCCTTCTCTGCTCTCTCATGCTCGGTTCTGACTCTGTTACTAACAATATTCCCCTGAAATGGAGACAAGATGGGTTCTTCCCCAGCTACAGAAATTGGGAGATGAAAACAGCAGCTTCTCTATCTATTGTGAGAGACTGTAATCCACTGGCCTCTCCGTAGCTCCATAAAGGAACCACAAATCAGATCTAAAATATCTGAACAACAATTCCTAAGTGGTAAAAACATGCAGATAAATGCCATGGCCTCTATGCAACCCTAGCCCCCGATTTCTGTTTTTAAGGGAGTGGTGAGATAGCACAATTTCACTGAGCTAGGAAAATGGAAATATCAAATATAGTTGGAATTGCTACAGACATAACTTACATTCTCTCTCCATGGAAATACAAAGCA